ACTGCGTCACTTTACTGCCCTCCGCGCTCTGCGTCACTTTACTGACCTCCGCGCTCTGCGTCACTTTACTGACCTCTGCACTCTGGATGGGCACAGTGGCAATGGAAGAGCCAGATTTGGGGGGGGGGGGGCTTATTTTCTGACAGTGCCCCTCCCGAGACTAGACCTTGGATCCGTCCCTGGAACTAATATACATGCACATATTCAAATGAATAAAAATTGCAGTTCACTGATTCCCCTGGATTTGCTAATTGATTTACTTAATACTATAAATAAATGTGGTTAGCACTTAAGCCTTGCAGCACAGGGGGTCCCCGGTCTGTATCCTGGACGGGGCACTATCTGTGTGGAGCAGCAGGAAGGGGAGGTGGGGGTGAAATGAGCCACTTGAGAGAAGGACTTTAATTACTTTGGGGCTTCTACTGTGAATTTTAATTTTAAGGATGAATTACTCCACTGTGTTTGTGGCTTAATCAGTGAGGGCTTGTTTTAAAGGTTATGTACTGCTTGTTAAGAAGATTTAGGGGTTGATTTGCTAAAGGTAAATAGGCTGTACACTTTGCAAGGGAATTTGCACTTTGCATGGGAAATTTTTCTTAGCTTCCCAGATAGCAAGCAATTGAGCTGCAAGTTTGAAAATGACTTGCTAAACTATTGCAGACTTGCCAAGCTTCACAATTTTGTTGCACAATTACAGCAAGTCTGCATTGCAAGTCTCCAGACCAGCGAGCTTGCAGAGCTCTTGCTAAGACCTGCAGGACTCTTGCTGTAGACTTGCCAAGCAAATTTGCTAAAAATTCAAAAAGTGTCAACTAGAACTTGTGCTGCGAGTGTTCTGCAAGTCTACAACTTGCCAGGAATATGTGCAGCAAGGTAACAAAATTACAATTTCACCCTGCCACACGTTTGTAGCAAGTTATCCTTGCTATCTGGGTTAGTGAATGTGATGTAACTTCATTTTGTAAAGAATACCCAATCATGTGCAAGGAAAACACAAAACAGCATTTTTACTGAACATGCTTCAGTGATGGAAGTCAGCAGTGCTTCCACTCATTAACAAATCTAAGGGCAAACTTCCCCTACTACTGTAAGTGCAAATTCCTTTGCAAAGTGAACAGCCTATTTGCCTTCAGGAAAGCAAACCCTTAATGGCCATAGCCTGACCCGGGTTTGCTTTAAAGGAAACCTGCTATGGAAAAAGCATGGAGATAATCTCTCGCAGCACAGGCATAGATCACAGCAAGTTTGGAGCTCACTGGAATTTTGATAGGCTTAGCAGGATTTTTTTTTCCTGTTGCTTTTATCAGATATGGCAAAATGCTTTCATTGGTACATTTATCAAATGAAAAAAAGCAAATAAAAGATGTTCATTGTTCGGGTGTTGCATACACTTTAATTGTTATTTTTTTTTCTTTTATTCTATATTACACTTATTTGAATATAATGTGAAAAAGAAGTTGCCATTTTACAAAAACAAGATCCGAACATTTGTTCTATTTTTACTGGATAAGTAAGGACACACTGTATATGTCTAACATACTTAAGTGTTTAGAATCTACTTGGATGTAAGGTACCAGATCTTTTTTTATCATATTCTTTGTGTATTTTACGCAGCTCTCCAATTTAGAATAAAAAATAGTTTGCCTTCTCCTACCAGTTATTAGCTCATGCTAGTCATTCAATAATTACCATTAATTTCTTTATTGCACTGCAGTTCTATAATTAACTTGGTCTGTAATTAGAGCTACCTTATACACCTCCTTTAAAGTATAGAGACACCAAAATATTAGTACAGTAGGTTACTAAAGCAACATTTAAGTAAATTCATATAATTTGCAGTAATCTAAAAATATTTATGTTAAAAAAAATCATATCACTAGCCTAATTTGTAGAAGGAGGAAAAAGGCCAATGGTACTGGCAATTTTTAGAGTTTTACATGTAACAACTATTTGTCTTACAATCAAGACTAAGGATCTTTTTCAGTAAACTACAACAGCATTTAAAGCAGACACTGCAGTATGGAATATCTAAAAAAAACTTTCCACAAGCATTAATAAACAAATGAAACTCATTTAAAACGCTTTATCCTCTTTTATAAATACTTTTTTTATGTTTACATTTCGGCACTGCAATGCAGCAGGGGGCCATGTTTGAAGAGGGAAAAGCCACTTCTTCAGAATGAATGACTTACCTTGCTGACGCAAGGTAGAAGTCTTGCGTCAGCAAGGTAAATCATTCATTTTTTACCACACCCCTTTCTGGCAATGCGACACTATTCATGCACATATGATAAAACGAAACTACTGATCCATAGTGCATGCTGTGAAGAGTATTCGCGCAAGATCTTGTAGCCATTTTCTTTTTTTTTTTTCATGATTGAGTAATGACAAAGTAATACCAGTTACTTTTTCAATGACAAAGTAATACCAGTGTGCATTGCGTTGGCAAACTGAAGTTATTTGCACTTTCAAAGCAGGAAGTGAATGCTCTGCAAGTGTAAGTATTTCAATATCACAGCATTTTACACCTATCATGTCTATGTTATTATTAATCAGCATAGATAGAGGGATGCATTGGTAGAATTTGAGTGTAAAGGTCCGCTTTAAGGCATGGTAAACAGACCCCTTAAAAAATATGATCACATCAATTCAGGCCTTATTAACTTTGAAAGTTTGGGAAATGTCAGGTACTTTCAATATACCTCTAGTATTGTTGTGATTTTTTCAGTGTTACTTGGGTTCTCTAATGGTGAATTCTTTATTTATTAATTTATAGTGCCTTGCATAGGCATTCACACCCGTCTTCTCTGACTTTTTCATATATTTATCATACATTAAAACTGGTTTATTTGATGACACTAATTTATGCTAAATAGTACATAATGTTGAAGTAGAAAAGATCTACATAGTAGATGTATTTACAAATTAAAAACTGAAAAGTCTTGATTGAGTAAAGATACTGTGCAACAAAATGTACAACAATCTAAAGTTATCTGGTGTCACTCCGCCTGTCACAGTAACTGGCGCTATAGAGGAAGTATTTGCTAATGCGGCTCTGCTCCCTCTACCGCCGCAGCCTTTCTAAAGCGCTGGCATGCTTTGCCATCAGGGACAGTGGTACCAACGGTGCAGCAGTAGGGACATCAGGCAGTGGACAGCGCAGTAAAGTACGGTACCATTTACCGGTACACAGTACCATTACATTAAGCAGTGCCTTCAGGGGGGCAGCAGTTGGTGAAGTATGGTACTGGAGTGCTCCATGTCACTGCGCTGGCCGGAGGGAGTCCTCTGTCATCCCCCTTAATACAGTATGTCCCTGCAGGCTGATACCATCTCTCCTGCTCTTCAAGTTCCCCCTCACATGCTACCACCAAACTAGGTCTTATTTTCAGGTTAGGTCTTATATTACAGCAATCTTGAAAAATAATGCTAGGTCTTACTTTCGGGGTAGGTCTTATTTTCGGCGAAAAAGGTTACCCCATAGTTCTCTTAACCCCTTCGTGACTGACGACGTACAGTGTACGTCGCCAGCATCGGGGCTGTTTAAACAGACTCCCGGCGACTTTTGCCGCCGGGAGTCTGTTTAAACTTGTAGAGCCGACTGTCGGCTTTACAACAGAAGCGATCCTGGCGACTTACCTGTCGCCAGATCGCTTCTGCGTCCCGAAGAAATCATCTTTTATATTTCATTAAAAAAATGGGTAATTTGTTGTGTTTTGGGGCATTTAATTAAATTTGTCACTAAATTTTGGGGTTTAATAAGGAGTTGCGCTAATATTGCGCAACATAAAAATTTTCAACTACCACCATTTTATTCTATAGGGTCTTGGCATTCAGAAAATATATAATGTTGGGGGGTTTTACGGCATTTTCAGGCCTAAAATGTGCAATATAACATGGGTGCAAAAAATGAAAAAAGGGCCTCAGTCATGAAGGGGTTAAGTGAAGTTGTAAAATGAAAACCCCACTTTGTTCTCTTGGGAGCCCTATTTTGTCTAAAAACAGATCTGACGGAATGCACAATTGTCTGATGTAGATCCTTCTAACACTATGTAAAGCTGATTACAGTTCAGTATTCAATGTTCATAGATTATCTAGGGACAATTCTATGTGTGTGCCTCTTCTGTAATAATTTCAGCAAAACACGGTAAAATCATTTATATGGCTTTTACCTCATTTCAGTATTGCCTATTTATATATTACCCATAAATTATATTACAGTGTGTTTTGTAATGAGAACATTGCAGCATCTAAGGGATTAGTTTGTTGAAGCATCCCTGAATGATTCTTCTCATAAATCACCAGCATAAATCCACAAGCAACCCTAACAGTCATTCCAATAAAATTCCCATATCCCTTCAATAAAAAGCCTATTTTCAAATATTAGGAGACAATTTGCCATTTGTTTTATGGCTACCACGTTTTCCATATTGAATGCATTTGTTTTCAGAAAAACCAAACCTGCAGCTGTATCCCTACTCTAGTATGTTGTCAAGCTTAATCAAGCTCTCATTTTAGTTATAGGCTGAAATGTTTTCTATTAAATAATGCGGAAATCTGATTGTGTCAGTATTGCAGGGCATTAATCTAGCTGTAATTCCTTGTCTTTTACACATTCTACTTTAAAGTGCCATAGGGTATAAGATAAATAACATAAAATACACATTTTAGGACAATTATGTGTTCTATAAAGCTATTAATACACAGATGTAACACGATTCATTACTCTGTCTTGGGTGATATATTTTAGGCTGTGCTGTGATTTATTGTACCAAGACTGCTTGTTTTGCTTTTTAACATCATCAGAACTTTGACTACTTTTTAGGTTTGTTTAATGCACTCAACTCCTTCATCCTTAGGAGTGACGTGCTGGAAAACCTTAATGTGGACCTGCAATCTTTTAGACATGTTTTAGCATGTTTTATTTTGCTCTGTAGATACACAATGTGAATGGCAACATCTATGATATTTATATTGTTTCCTTTTTTTCATTTTAATAGGAACATCAGTTGATGACAAAAGAAGTAACCCTGCCTCTGATTCAGAACAAATCTTTATATCATACAGGTACTTCTTAACTGCTTCAAATGTGTTGTAATTTGTAGGTATTCATTTGAGTGGTAGAGGCCAGAATGTTGCTCCCTGGCACTTCATGATGATATCACACAATCAAGTTTGTGTTCTCCCCTTTTTGTGGTCTGTCTCACTATACCCTTTACAAACCCTTTAAAAGGAAATATGTAAGATGCCTGTGCTGTCCTTTCCTTTTAGAAGGAAACTAATGCTAGTTACCTTGGTGCCCCGATAATCCATCAGCTATAGAACATTTACACAAAAAATGTATTCAGATCAAGACTTTCAACTTCTGCTATATACTTGCTTAAGTCAGTTTCTCTGTAATAATCAGTAAGTCAGAGACAGCCAGGCATATAGCATATTCTAAATAATGTATGCAATGCCTACATGTTCTTCTCTCCTTCTTGAGCCAGCACCAGTCAAGGGGGCAACTATAGCCATAAATAGCCATACAACTGCTATAGGGTTCAGAATCACAGAGGACCCAGCACTGTCTGGCTACAATATTATTTATATAGGTAACTGTAGCATTTGACAAATACATTTGCAAAAAATCCATGTGTTTACAGTACATAGTACAACATCACGTGCAGGTATCTCTACAGGGGAACCAAATATGTGACCTCACTTCAGATACCAAACAATTCCTGTGAACTACAGGTAAGAGTCGGGAGTCAGGGTCAGGGTCCAAAGCAGGAACAGAGGCGGGAACAGGAACCAGGATACAGGTAGGATTAAGGAAACAATACTGAGGCACAGGCCTCACTGTTAAAAGGGGCTAAATACCTTCCCAGACCAGCAACAGGTGGTGACTAATTGCTGATAGCTGGGAGACACCCGCAGGTGAGCACCAGAACTGCAGGTTCCAGCACCACCCAGAGGTGGTCTGGTACCTGATAGCTCCTGGCTGCCTGGAGACACCTGCAGGTGAGCACTGAAACTGCAGGATCTATTTCCGGTGCCACCTGGAGGTGCTCTGGTCCCTGACAGGAATTGCATTTATGGTAGTTATTAAAGAGACAGAGAGACCCCTTAATATTTATGTTGTGGGTCCCCGTGACACACTGGTGGCCTTGTTTGCTTTTTCTAGGCTGATGAAAAGGGAGAGCAGCAATGGAGCTGGTGTACAACAGCGATGAGGTCAAGAAGGCAGTTGAGGTAGAATTTCAGGTCATGTTGCCCTGGTGTCAACTGAGATTCTCAACAATACTACACTGCACCTGTCTAAAACTATCTGACAGTCACTGCTATTCGCTGGGAGCAGTGACTGAGAGCTGACTGATCACATGACTACTGATCAGTCAGCTCTCGGTCTCTGCTCCCAGTGAAGAACAGTGACTATCAGTCACTGCACCCCCAAGGTATTCTGCCCTGCTCCCTCTGCTACTCCAGTGCTATCTGGGGCTTTAGGCAGCTCAGCTAAGCTGGCCTCCCTACAATCGGCACAAATAAAAACTCAAGTGTGTTTTCTTTAGTGCTACGTTTGCACTGTTTTGTAGAGTAAAAATTAACATTTGTGCTGCTTTTATTTTTAAGATGATAGCAATTGTTTTTTTAAAGATGATGACATCACCCAGCCCCCCTACAACAGCAAAAAGTCATGTAATTGGGCTGGATGGTTAGTGCCATGTTTGTGCTGGTTTCTGCCATTTAAAACTCCATTCTATCTCCTTTCATTTTCAAGTTATTCACTATTTATTAAAGGTCACCCACTCCCCCTACAACAGCCAAAAGACATGAAACTTGCTGGTTGGTTAGTGCCACGTTTGTGCCATTTAAATCTCCATTCTATCTCCTTTCATTTTCGAGTTATTCACTACTTATTAAAGGTCACCCAGCCCCCCTATAACTGCCAAAAGGCATGAAACTGGGATGGTTGGTTAGTCGCGTTGGTGCTGTAAAAAATAACATTTGTGCTGCTTTTTTAAAAAAAAATAGCAATTGTTTTTCTTTTTTTTTAAGATGGTGACATCATCCAGCCCCCCCAACACAGCAAAAAAACATGGGCTAGTTGGTTAGTGCTGATTTGTGCCGTTTAAATCTCCATTCCGTCCCCTTTCTTTTTCGAGTTAGTAACTATTTATTAAAGGTCCCCCAACCCCCCTAAAACAGCCCACAAATATGAAATCGGATTAGCCGGTTAGTGCCACATTTGTGCCATAAAAATGAACATTTGTGCTGCTTTTATTTTTAAGACAACTGCAATTGTCTTAAAACCAAAGGTCGCCTTTGGTGTCCTTTAATTGCTATTGTCTTAAAAATTAAAGCAGCACAAATGTTACATTTTACGAAAGGCGATAGAATGGAGATTTAAAAGGCACAAACCAGCACAAACGTGACACTAACCAACCATCCCAGTTTCATGTCTTTTTGCAGTTGTAGGGGGCCTGAGTGATGTCATCATCTTCAGACCAGACCAGAAAACTACTGCTTGTCCTATTTTGTCTGGTCTGGAATGCATCAAAAACACATGGAACACAACTGTAAGACCATTTTAAGCTTACAAAAAACTCCAAACGCTGCAAAATCATGTTAAAAACGTGACAAAAACGCAATGCACTATGTTCCAGATCTGGTCCGGAAAATGGTGTGAGCCCAGCCAGAGGCTGGGTGTGGCTGGCTCTGGCTCTCAGTGTGCTGTCAATTAGGCAGCTGGGGTGAATCCCGGCAATATTGTCAGGATCCTTCCCAACTGTGGCACGGTTATGACTCATCAGCAGATGGGGCATAAAGTCCTCAGTCTGTTGCTTTTTGGTCACATGAGTATATAGGTGAATGTACTCCTGTAACCCAATGAAAAGTATAGCAAAAAAAAGTTGTCATCCAACACACATTTATATGCAGTGAACCAAACGATAAGGCATTCAGTAACAAACACAGGGTCTGAAGGGGTCTAGAGCTTGTTGCCTGTGACTTTCTCTTCAGAATCTACAGTATTAACAGCATTTTTAAATCCAGCAATGCATAAACAAGTCTCTTTTGAAATATACAGTGCATTGCCTCTCATAATTCTGCACAGACTTTGTAGCCACAGTGTTCCTTAACACTGGATATTTAATCCCTCGGGGATATTTAAACCCTGCAAGCAGTAGATATATGCAGAAACATGAAAGAAAGTTTTAAACACACCTGTGTCTCTGCCACACGCTCCCGTCCGAAGATCTGAAAAATCTTGGGCGGCCACAAAGGATCATGGGACGTGCTTAGTATGGCCAAAGCACAGGTTAACCTTATGTAACTTTTTTTAAAATATCAACAAATATTTAGCTTCAATTTACAAAAATGCACATCAACACATGTTAAAGTGTTTTTTTTACTATTTGAGCAAGTGAAACATTTGTAAAAATGTGTTTACTACAGGTACATGAATATAAACCAGTCCTAAAACTTATCATTATTAATGCCATTGCTGCATTGATATTTCTCATCATAAGGTTTCTCCAGAAATTCCCCCCTCCCACTAATCTGGCAGTTTTCCATGGAATCCCTAGTGAAATCACTGGAGCCAACAGCAAATCCTGACAGATGGGACCAGTAGGAACAGTAAAAGGAGGGCATTTCTGGACGGATTATGTGACTGTGGCTCTATGTATCAGTCTTGTAGCCATAGTATAGTTTTACTTACTGCCTTCCCATTCTTGTAAAAATAAAGTAAATCATTTTATTGTGAGATCCTCTTTGCTGTGGTCTGGGAGACTGGGGCATATTCTAATTTACTATTCATGATTGCAGTGCACCTTCACTTTATATTTGCCAGCTTTTAAAAAATAATTTCCAGGTACTTTTCAGTTGAAATGACATACTTTAAAGGGTTATTAAACCCTTGTGTTTTTTTGCATATATCTACTGCTAGCAAGCAGTAGATATATGCAAAAACCTAAAAAAAAAACCTTTTGCCGCGTGCTCCCGTCTGAACATCTGAAGAGTCTCGGGCGGCCGCAAAGGATCTTGGGGCGGGCGCATGCGCAGTTCAGATTTTCAGAGACACAAGGTAAGTCTATGGAGCAGCGTGCACCCGCACAGACACCGTGGGTCATGAGCGAAGAGGAGGACAGAGGAGTCAGTGCTGGATCGGAGGCGCGCACCAGCGCTGGAGGGACAGCTGAAAAGGACAGGAAAGAAGAAGATGATTGGATTACGAGACATCATTTAAAGTAAATCCATACAGCAGGATTGGGAAGGTAAAAAAACTTTGACTTTAATGGCACTTTAAGGGCCCGTCACACTAGTTCATTGTGGTAAAGTGTGATAAAAACATACGTTGCCGCAGAGCATGAAAAACAGTGCATTGCTGTGCAAGTCATTCTTTATAGCACGCCTTTGCACTTTCCTTTTAGCACGCCTTTGCACTTTCCTTTTAGCACACCACAGTGTACAGATGTGTATCATCAATGTGTTGTGGGATGCTGCATTGTAAAAATTATTACAAGTCTAGATTAAAATTTAGTGTGGTGTAAAATGAATGGGCCAACTATTGAAATGCACAAATGCATTTAAACACAGCACAGTAGAGTGAATGGGCCCTATAGGAGAGGAATATGTAGGCTACATTTGTTGACACTCGTCTGCAAATTCTAATTACCTACCTGATATGCTTATCCAATGACTTCAGTATTTTCTAAGTTTCTAACCCGGAAGAAGTATGCAGATTATGAGTTCTGAGTTTGATCTGGCTTCACTTGCTGAAGGGTTCAGGGTTAGTTTTCTAATGCTAATTGAAAGATATCTAAACCCAAGTACAAAAAAAATATCATATTGCAGACTACCAGCCCTTAGATGTGTTTGCTGCATTAATGTTATCTACCTTCTGCAAACTACTTATAACCCCACCCCCATATGAAGGAGATGAAGGGAAGAAGACAAGCTTAAAGCTCATTTCCACCTTTGCGGAGGTATTTTTATTTTTAAAAATTGTACATGCCAGCATTGTACACTGAGTACACAAAGCAGGCATATGCAGTTACTGTATATAAACACAGAAACTTACATTT